GATTATAGGAGGTTACTTTATTAAGTTTTTCGATTATTAAAAATTATAAAATGATCATTCGATTATGGAGTGTTGTTTTGTTAAATCCCTCAACTATTTGACTGTGTTCAACTCAAAATATCTTTATTTTTTAAATTAAATTAATTTAAGTAGTATATAATTATAATTTTGTAAAGTTCATAATTACGATTATAATTAGGATAAAGTACACAAATGATCCTCCGACTAGGACGTTACTTTGTTGAGTCTCTTAACTACTAAAAAATATAAAACGATTCACTAACTATGGGGCGTTTCTTTGTTGAGTTCCTCTATTTTTAAAAGCTATAAAATCGTCATCCGACTATTCATATGTTCCAACCTCATCATTGTTTTTAAAAAATTAAATCATTTGAGTTGTACGTTAACCTACTAATTAGATACGATAAAATTATATTTTTAATTATGTCTATTGGCATCGTCGTTACTTTTAAGCATTGACTCAACGGTTTAATGTTTCAAGCATTGGCTTAATGACATAATGTAAACGAAGACTCGATCCACAAAATACATCTCAAAGTTGAGATCAAATTTTATCATGTCTTAGTCAACATGTTAACGTTTAACTCATAAGGTCGTCAATTTTTTAATAGAATATGATGAGTTTGGAACATATGAATAGTCGAGTGACCATTTTATAACTTTTAATAGACATAGTACTCAATAAAATAATATTTTATAATCAAAAGACTATTTTATAACTTTTTATAGTCAATGGACTCAACAAAACAGTACCTATAACCGATACATCGTTTCTCTACTTTACTCTTATAATTAACAATAAATCTAAACTAGGCTACAATATTTGATTAGTAAAAAAAGTGATTATACATTAGACCTTGTAAACTTGACCCAAACCCAATTATCTAAATTGATTTACTTGACCCAATATCCGATATTAATCTGAACATGATGATCAAATTCGTTTCGAAACTCAAATCAAGCCCGATTTGAATCATACCCGATCCAAAATTTAGTTGACCCGATATGGACTCACATCCAATTTGACCCAAATCGAAATCAACCCAAACTGAAATTAACCTGAATCTAAAGCAACCCGAATCAAAAATAACCCGAACAAAAACAACCCGAACTTAATTTAATCCTAATAAAAAAGCAAGCCAAACCGAATTTAACCCGATATGAAATTTATCCGAATCGAAAGCAATTTGAACCGAATATATATATATATTTGGTTAGACTTATAATCGAATTAACCCTAAATGATAAGATTAATAAACAAAAAGACATATTTTTACAAGAATATATCAATAATTCTATATATAATTAATTATATTCATAACTAATTCAATCCAAATTGACATGAGCTAAATGCTGACTCAAATCGAAAATCAATCGATCCGATCCGAAAATCGACCAATCTAATAGTCATTCGACCTGAAAATTGACCCGACCGGACCCAATTTAGCATACACCCGAACTAAATCCGAACCAAATCCGATTTGACTCAAATAAAATTAAACCAAATATAATCTAGACCCGAAATGACCCAACCCAAATCCGATCTGAATGATCCATTTGCCACCTCTATTATACATTAGTGATGAATCCTTCTATTCCAACACAAGAAGTCTATGAGAAAATACATTTGGTCGGATAGTTAAACTGCTCATCTTTGTTCCCTCATTGTCTCTTAGGTCATAAGTTCTAGACCCACTAAAATATATTATAATTTCACAGTGTTTGAACTACGACTTTTATTTTAAATTAATTTTTAAATTTTAAAACATTATGCATCAATCCTCTTGTTATTAATATCATTTCATCTTAGATATTTCTATTAACCTATCGTTAATTTTAATGATTAAAATAATTAATATATTTTTTAAAAGTTCTAGAAAATTGAAAGTATGGCCTAAAAGGTAGGGCATGCATGTGAATAGCGTGGCCTTCTTAGCAAAAGTACCACATATTTCTTCACACTTGACCCAGCAATTCCTTGTACAATTTAGGTACGTTTGGTTTACGGAATTTAAGATTACCAGTGAGAATAAAAGATTATCAGGAAATAAGATTATTGAGAATGTTGTATTTTGTGTTTGGTTGGTTTAACAAGAATATAAGATTACCGTGTTTGGTTAAAGGAATAAAAGATTATTTGAATATATATTTGACCAAATTGTCCTTATTATATATTTGTATAATATTACAAATTGTAAAATATTTATATATTTTCTTTAAAAAATTAAATTCATAATATTTATATAATTTTTTTACAAAATTAAAAATATAGAAAAAGTTTAATGAAATAGTAAAAAAAAATTAACCCCTGAACTTTATATAAAATTTTAATTATAGATTTTTTTTTTGTAAATCTAAAATAATTTAAGGATAAATTTGTAATTTAACATTCGTATAATTTTTATTATTCAATAACAGAAGAATGATATTTTTGAAAAAATAATAATAATTTAAGGGTATTTTAATCTAAAATGCTGATAATGTTACAATACCTAAGGGAAGGGAGGTAATGACATTCCCGGTAATATACCCCAAAAAATCTACTATTGGTAATAAAACATTACCATGAATGAGATTCTCGGCCAACCAAACATGGGAATGTGGGATTTCCATCCCATGGGAATCCCACAATCCTTGAACCAAACACCCCCTTAATACTTTACCTAAACATAATAAATAAAAATGTCCTGAAATTAATTATCAATTGAATAAATTTAATCATGTCAATTTATTTGAATTTTGAGTCCAAAATCTAAGTACAATTTTAAAGAAATTTTAATTTTGTTTCTAAAATATGATTTTATTATAATCCACATGGGAGGAGTTCTCTTGGGGTCAAAAGGGGACTCCAATCCCTATTAAAAAAATAATGTTCGATAGATTTTGATTTAACAATATTTGAATTCATGTAAAAATAAATATTCAAATTAAAAAATAAAACTTTATTAAAAATTTAATTAAGTAGGAGCCGAATTAAAGAATGATAATCCAATGTTCTCGATGTTTTGGTTTAATAACAATTTAGGTCATTATAAGATTAAATATTAGATAAATTAGACATTGTCTTTTGAATTTTAAGTTTAAATACCTAATAAACCATTATATATTTCTTAAAAAAATTAATATTTCAATCTCTGTCAATTTCTAATCCTGACTTCGTCCCTGATGATCGATCTCACTTAACTAAAAACCTCTGTAAACGATTGTTTTTTTTATAATATATAGTTATATTAAATGCCTTAAATGTATATAATAATATAGTTTTTGTTGTTGGTTTGTTGGCACACCTCACCCACTCATTTTTTGAACTGCGTAAAATATATATTTTTAAACGTGACGCAGTGTATTCTTTAACCACCATTCATATATCCCCACATGCCACATATCTTCGTAGGGTAACTTACAAATCTGGTAACTAAACTTTACTAGTTCTCCTATTTCACTCATTTTACTTTAATTTTTTTCAATTTTATTATTAAACTTAATATATTGGATTTTTTCACTCAGTCGTTTTCTCACTAACAACGTTATAATGGGCTTTTATATAGATACAAAATGATGTTGTTTTGGTGAAAATTTTATTTTTTTAAAAGCGGCATCGATTTAACGCTGTTAACTATTTAATGGCGGAGTAACCATAAAAGCTAAATGTATTAAGCTAAGTGAGGAAATTGAATTTTTTAAAGATCAGTGAGCAAAATAGGAAAGAGAGTAAAATTTAGTGACTGATCCAAAAATATTTTTCAAGGTGGGCACACATATATATTAATCACATAAAATCTTTATATAATGTGGGCACAACTATTAAAATATATAATTATCTGAAGAAAATTCCAATTTCAAAGTAGGCATATGCCCACCCTGGATCCTTAATAAATCTACTAATAATAAGGTTTATTGATGAAATTTGTAATTTACCCAACTTAATTTTAGAATAAACACTTGATCCAACACAAATATATAATAGATAAATATACTATTATCTCAGATTAGGTCGAAGATCTTTTATCCTAATCTTAAATTTAACCCGACCTAATCTTTTAAAAATATTTAACTCAATTTGAATCCATTTAAAAAAAAAACTCAATCTTGTAGTCTATAGAGTCCTATTATAACTATTTATGTCTGAATTTCATGCTCATTCCTACATCAACTCAACTAATAGTTTTCCTTTAAAATTGGTTATTTTGATAAGAAATAAATATTAAGGGATAAATTACTTAAAAAAATAAAAGTTAGAGTGATTATTTTATTAAATATTAATGAAATTTTTTAGTGTTACACCTTTTAAAAAATAAATTAAAAAGCACAAGGACTAGTAACAAATTAAACCATTTTATAAACCAAAATCCACTTATATTCTAATGCAATTCACACCAATGGTCAGTTTTACAAGAAGGGCAAGAGACGATAAATATTAAATCTCACAAGCGCCACTAGTTTTAATAAGGGTAAACAATGCATGTAGTACCTAAACTATCAATTTTGATCTGTTTTAACTCCTAAACTTTCAATTTTTCAAACTATACCTAATATTTAATTTTTGTTTCATTTTAGTACCCCACCATTAAAAATTTTAGTACCTAAAATATCAGTTTTGACCTGTTTTAGTACCTAAACTTTCAATTTTTTAAAAACTTAACGTTAAATTTTGAATGGATACTAAAATGAAACAAAAACTAAACTTTAGGTATATTTTTGAAAAAAATGAAAGTTTAGATATTAAAACGGACCAAAATTAATAGTTTAAATACTGAATATACAATTTACCCTTTAATAAATAAAAAAACAACAAATTCAAAAGAGTATAAAAAAGGAATATGCAAGCAACTGGATGGTTTATCTTAGCAAATTAGCATCTTTCCTCTCAGATTCTGGGCATCTCCTTCAACCCTCAACTTGCTCTCCGTTTAACCCTTATATTTTCATTCATCTAGCCCATGAATCTCACCATTTATACGTAACAGGCAGATTGTTTTTCTTTTTACAGAACCAAAATGAATCAGTTGTTGGATTCTCCAATCGAATCTTTAGCATTTAACTATGTAAGCTTTGGGATTTTCACGGTTGGCAATAATCTCTGGACGTGGATCGCTGTTGTCACGGCTGCGCTTAGTTTCTGGAAGATCAGAGCAGCCGCCGGAGCCGTCGTTTCATCAGGGTATGTTCAAAGCAACGACCCGAAACCGTCGACGTCCATTTCCGACGAGTCTCCACCGGTTCCCGAACCCGATAGCGAGCAGCCGACCCCTTCATCTTCGGTCGTGGATACGAGCGTTTCGCCGTTAGTTTGCAGAGGAGAAGTGGTGACCAGAGGGAAGTTTAAGCTGACTGTTTATTTCGACGATGACGGAGAAGAGAGTGACGTAGACGTCGACGATGGTGGAGTGAGGGTAACGGGACGGAGTGACGGCGGTGGCGGCGACTGTAACGAATGGTGGGAGAGCTGGGAAGGAGTGTTGAAGTTGAGGAACGGGGAAACGGGGTGGTACCGTCATCAGGATTTGTCGGCGTTAAACGGCAACGTCGTTAGGTTATGGGATGAATCATGCAAGTGTAGGACAAAAGCTCAAGCTGTTGTGCTGTAACGATGGCTGGTTGTGGTGGCATTTTAGGAATAATTATTATTTTTATGTAGTTGATATGATGTTTATATATATATATATATATATATATATATATATATTAAACGATCTTAATTCTTAGGGTTTCAAGGTTGTGGAAAACATATAAAATATAAATATTATATATTTGTTGGGTCCAACAACCGTCTAAAAAAACAAACAAAACAGTAACAACCAATTACCTCTATAGTTAAAGGAATTATTGTTGTTTCTATAGATCACAAATTTCAGTACTATCGACTTCAGTAAGGTGATTTATGTTTACTGTCAAATGGATAAGAGTATTTATATATGAAATATTAGATTAATTATCAACTGAGTTGGTTCAAGTGATAAGCATCATGATATCACTTAAATAAGTCTCGAGTTTGAGTTCTTCTCCTATGGGTGCAAAAAATTCATTCTATGAGACTTACCCACCAAAACTAAACAAAGCCTTGAAAATTAATTCGAGAACGCTTATGCTTATCTACCGTATAAACAATTCAAACACTCAATATTTGACTCTAAAATCACGGTAAAGGAATTTATTTATCTCTTTATATGTCATGACATCATTAATTATTTAGTAATAGAGTGATCAAAATGAGATTAATTAAAGAGTTCAGTTGTTAGATTGAAATTTTTCTAAAATTTTAATGACTAAAAGAGATGTAAAAAAAAGAAAATTAAGTGATCAAATTTGTATTTTATTCAAAAAGAAAAGGCGAGGATTAGTGAAAAAAAAAGATTAATTAACTTGGGTTTTGGTTAGCTAAGAGTAGGTAAAGTGGGACTGTGGGATGGGGACCAAAATGAAAAGAAAAAAAAAACAAAGGAACCTAAACTCGAAATTTAGCTTCCCATCGATCGAAAACCCGAAGAAGAAATGATAAAATGCATTGCCAATCTCAGGGATATGGATACTTTTGATCAACTCGATCAAACATCGATAAATACTTGGATCGAATGAACTCGACTCGAATTCTTAACGAGCCGAAACGAACTGCTTGATACTTAACTTAAAAAGCTCGTGAGCAGCTTGAAAATATAATATATTAAGATTTTGTTTTTAAAAAAATAAATTATTAATAATATTAACATTTAAGTGTTGATTTTTTTTTTAAAAAAATACAGTAAGACTTTTATGTATTTAAGATTCATATTCGAGTTTGAGTTTGAGGCTTCAATCTAGTTAAGTTTAAGATTTTTTTTCATTTTGAGCCTTTTCGAGATGCTTACAAACTTCAGTTCAGGATTTCGAGTTCGAGTCGAGCTTAAAAATTTTAAACTCGCGAGTTTTCGAGTCAAGTCGAGCTTAATTTCAGAGTTTTCGAGTCGAGTCAAGCTCAGCAATACGCGAGCTCGACTCGGCTCGTTTAAACCCCTACTGAGTGATGAAGGTTTTAGAGTAAAAAGACTGCTAAAATACTTTCCAAAGAAACCAAATCAAAAAGATGCGAAAAGTAGAGATGCTGTAAGCAGAGATGGTTAAAGCACATAAAAGGTCCTTAAAATATGTTCAGATGATCGATTTGACCACTATTATGTTATAATAAACGTAAAAGCTTAATAAATTTAATGATTGTTTTATAATATTCAAATTATGATTATTTTATATTATTTTGAAAAAAATTAATGATGTTGTATAATTTTTAAAACCTATAATATTCAAATTATGATTATTTTATATTATTTTGAAAAAATTAATGATGATGTATAATTTTTAAAACCTAGTGACTAAAATGATCATTTGAATATATTTCAATAGCTATTCAAAAAAAAGTATAGTTCAATAACTTTTGGTACAATTTATAACAAAGTTTGTGACCACAGAAAGTTTATTTATTTGTCTATTTGTCAGTAAATAATACCAATATCTTTTATATGGTAAATGACACCGTTTTTCATTGAACTATACATTATCTCTTATTTTTCTCACCCGACTTTTAATTTGGTCAATTTGCTCATTGAACTTTACAATCGAATCATTTTACTCACTCGACCATTTTCTTTCTAACAGTTGATGGCGTGGCATTTTTTATTAATATTTAATATAAAATAATTAAAAAATAAAATAAAAATAGAAGGTGGCCATGCCACCACCGGACACCATTGATCGGCCACTATCGATCGTCGTAGATTGTGGTCATTCGGTCCTAAATTAAGATGGGTCGCTTCTCCTCGACATCTTGAGTCTGAATCCAACCTCCATTTTTGTCAGAACTTGCTTCGAATTCTACGAATTTGATATTAAAAGTGAGGAAACCAAAAACTTTTAAATCCAAGTTCATGAGTTTTAGGACATTTTCTGGTGAAACAACCACTAGATTAGGACATAGGGGGTCGAGACGAACCGATCCATGAAATTTGGGACTGAACGACCACCATCTACGACGGTCAACGGTGGTCAAAATGAAAATAACGTGGTGACAGGCTGAGAGAAAATGAATAAGAGAAGGAAAAAGGGTAAATTATACCATGAGTCATTGAACTTTACTCTCTCTCCTATGTTACTCACCGAAACGATGTTGTTTAGCTCTAATTTATCATTTTTGTCTCTATCGTATTTTTGTATTAATTTGTAAGGTTTAAGGGTTACCTTTGCCCATGTAATAGATCTAATTTATCACTTTTGTCTCTATCGTATTTTCACATCAATTTAGTCCTCAAAGTTGATTAATTACATCATTCTATATTTTATCCCTAACTTAAAACCCTAAGTTATAGTTTAGGGTTTAAAAGTTATAGGGTTATATTTTAGGGTTTATGATATAGGGTTTTAAATTGAGGGTGAGGTATAAAATGATGCAATTAAACGACTTCGAGGGTTAAATTGGTACGAAAATGATAAATTGTCTACTACAAGGGTAAAAGTTACCAATATACCAATTTTTAATTATATGATTATCTTGTTTTATAATTCTAATTATATGATTAAATCAATGAATAATTCATTTTTTGATTCAACAAATTGATCTGATATGATTTTTTTTTATGACCGTAGTTGCCATCATGACACCAAGTGAACTTATGCCCAAACAAATGTATGGACTCATAGGACACGACTAGGTTTCAATAATTTGGGTCATACTGACCCATATCACATGTTCTTACACTCTTATCATCGCGTGGTTGGGGTAAAATTGACCCAATAAATTAGACGAGTAAAAGAATTAGTTCGTCTTTGAAATTATTTTTGGACTTACGATAAATGTTATAATAAGGAGAAATTCGTCACGCTCACATGATAAATTTTTTCAAATAATTTTTTTTATTAAAATTTATCATGTGACAATTTCGAGTCACTGTAATAAATACCGTAAATTTCAAATTAATTTTAAAGATAGTCTAATAGATTAATTGTTTTACCCGTCTGGCCTACTAGGCCAATTTTGTCTGTGGTTGAGACCTATCCTTAACCGTATAGGACCTTTCTTTAACCGTATATTAAGGTTGTCGTACAATAGAATTACCCATAATTTTCACATTCACGTTATGTTTTCTTTCTAAATGCTGGGTTCTAAACTCTTTTTTGGTTTTACTCCATATTCAAGGTTTTATCTTGATTAATCCGAACCGATTGGCATTGTGCACTTGATTTTGGTGGATGAGTCTCTCAACAGAGATTTTTTGTATACATAAAGACGTGAACTCGAGACATTACTAAACAATATCAAACTGTTTACCACTTGAACCAACCCACGTAGATTGGGTTCTAAACTTTGGTTCCAGAAGATATGCACTTTCGCGACAAAGAGCAAAGTTAATGTCACTATATTTTATATTTGGGTAAATTACCTTTTTAGTATCTTTCATATCCAAATGACGAGGAGATTTAAAAGGAAGAGAAAATCAATACATCTCAATTTCACGTTAATTAAACGGTAGAGATTACACATTAAACTAAGATACAATCAAGCTTTTAGTTTGAGTTTCATTAAGTACAAAGAAATCAAACTAAGAACATAAAACAAGAAAGAAAAAGGAAACGTTTTAATATTAATCACACCGTAAACGATAGGGATGGCAAACGGGCGGGTTGGGTGTGGATACCCATCCCCTATCCCCATACTCACCTAATATTTTTAAATCCACCACTCGCCCACCATCTATGATGGGTAAAAAGTTTCAAATCCACACCCACCCATACGAGTACATTTTCAAATCCATCCCCACACCTACTACTCAACTGGAGGCGTACCCGGCTAGACCCGTCTGACAGCAACCTTCAGTTATACATAAGCAACAAACATAAAAAAACATGTCCATTAAGAAGCATAACAAAATAAACCAAAGATTATATGAGTTAAGTATTAATATAGATTTTAAAGTACATAAAACACCATAATAAAAGACATAATTAAAGCCTATAAACATAAATGGTAAACACATAATATTTTTATTCTTTGGCACATCTCAAATTTCAGTCAATACTTATTCATAATATTTGGTTAAATTATAAGTTATATCTTATACAGTGTTAAGATTTATAAATTAGTTTTAAAAATTATATCTAAATTCATAATGGTCCAAAATTTAATGGATACTTAGTAGGCGGGCAGATGCAGGGCAGACGGATAAGGTCTCAAACCCATCACCCGCCCACTACCCGTGATGGGTACCACTTTCTAAATCCACACCCGCCCACTACCCACTAAAGTTATACTCATCTCCACCCCAATTAAAGTGAATACGGTGAAGAATCCACAAAATTATACCCGTTTTCCATCCCTAGTAAACGACGATCAAACTGTGATGAAAGAGAATGATATCGACAAAAAAAAACAAGAAGACTGAACTATTATGTCAATCTCACAAACGAAAATGCACAATACTATAGTATCATAATTTTGAAGTATTGACGTTCAAGTAAAGATAAATTACGCATTTAGTATTTAAATTATCATATTTAGTCCAGTTTAGTATTTAAACTTTTAATTTTTTCAATAGCATACGTAAAGTTTAGTTTTTGTTTTATTTTAGTACCAAATTTTAAAATTAACGTTAATTTTTAAA